TGTTTCCAGGATGCCTTTGGCAAGAAAACAACTGTTGTCATCGACTGTTTTGAGGTGTTCATTGAAAGACCATCAAACTTGCTTACTAGAGCACAGACATTTTCCAGTTATAAACACCACAACACTGTCAAGATTCTTGTTGGTATAACCCCCCAAGGAACGATTTGTTTTGGAAGCCTGGGGAGGTCATGTCTCTGATAAATTTGTGACTGAGAACTGTGGTTTTCTGGACAAGCTTCTTCCAGGAGATATGGTGATGGCTGACCGAGGATTTACCATTAGTGAAAGTGTTGTCCTCAAGCAAGCAAGACTGGTAATCCTAGCTTTTACAAAGGGCAAATCTCAGCTGGACCCAGTGGACGTGGAGCAGACTAGAGGAATTGCAAATGTAAGGATCCATGTGGAGCGTGTGATTGGATTGCTCAGAGAGAAATTTACAATTCTCAAAGGTACCCTGCCAACTGACTATCTTTTATCTAATCATGAAAACTCTGATCGCCACACTCCACTGGTGGATCACATGATAAGAGTTTATGCAGCTCTTGTTAGCTTTTGTCCTCCTATTGTACCTTTTGATTAGGCAAACCTCCCATTCCAAATAGTTATGTTGTGTATGACTGAAGATAAAATTTAGAAACAAAGACACATGGAACTCTCCAGAAATGTGGATATTCCACTAAATATTCTTAATGTACTTTACCATTTGTTTAATTTGTAAACCTTGGATGCTACAGTCCCATTCAAAAAATGGTGAACAACTGAAAATGTTGCTTATTACTTTTTCATTAAATTGTATTCTATCCAGAATACCCTAATAAAGTTAGTGCTACTTGACTAATACTCAGGTGGCTTATTTTGGTGTTCAGGTGCTCACATTTTTTTTTTAGTTGTACTGTAAATAGAGAAATAATATTGCATCTGATGACTGAGGAACTCTCCATGACGGTGTCAACAATATAGCTCAAACTCTTGGTCATTCTTAAAAAAAAATTAAAAGCCTTTGAAAGAGGAACCAAAACCCCTGTTTATGGCACCTTTTAAAGAGATATTGCTTGTTGATTCCTTTCTTTGAAACTGGAAGGTTGTTTGACATTAAAAAATTAAAAGCCTTGGAAAGAGAAACCATACCCCTGTTTATGTCCCCTTTTAATTAGATATTGCTTGTTGATTCCTTCCTTTGAAACCAGATGGTTGTTTGACATTATCTTTTTTTGTGTGGTTATGCCATTGTCAAAATGAGAGGAAAAGAAATGAAACATTGGTTTGACTTCATGTTGTTATGCAGATTGGATGAAGAATGCATCCAGCCCTGTCATCTTTAATTTTTAATTATGATAAAACAGTAGATATTTTAGCATTTAATTACCATTAGTTATTGTGTGTCTTAGTAGGGAAAGCAAAGTATACCATGTAAATTACAACTGAGGTACAAAAAACTTAGACTGGCGAGTGTGATTAAAAAAATTGCTCTTCAAAACTTAGTTTTCTTTTACCTGGAAAGTAAATGATCTCCACATGCATGTAATGTACAAAGATTGAGAACTGAAACTGAATTAAAACAAAATTACATGGATTTTATTGTTCACTTTAGACTGTATGCATAGTCAGTGTACTTAGAATGAAGGGAACAAAGTAAACTTGCCATTGCTTAGACATGATGCTAAGTGAGTTCTCATACTTTGAAAATGCAATAGCAAAAATCCCACAATCACTTCCATTTGTTTGCTGCTGCACTGGCATAGGATTAAGAGCAACCAAACAGTCCCCCAACAAGTCATTTGTTTGTTCTTCAACCTCTTGGTTTAAAACAGAGTCATGATACAGGTTGTCATAAAGATTGATATGTCCCAGATCACATCCAATCGAGCTGACACACACCCAGTGACTGTGACCAGTGTGCAAAATTTGTATGAATTCACCACTGACAACATCAAAATATCTAACTGGGCCAAGAGTTGGTCACTGAAAGCCTTCTATGCTTGAATTCTCACTATGCAGCAAAACTTGAGCTTGGTGAATAATGTCACAGTCTAGCCATCCAGTGGGACTAAAAATTAAATCAAAATGGGAGTCAGTTAGGTTTCCCAGTGAACTTGACTTGCCACTGCTGCCGTGAGTGACTTTAGTGATAGAAATATCACTTTCCCCTTCACCACTTGAGGAATCTGATGAAGAACAACACTTGGTAAGGGTGGTGGCTGAATGGAAAGTGGCACCTTTGTTGCATTCAGAGCATTTCCAGGTTGTCTGATAATTGTTGGGCATTCTGTTTAAACCGAGGCAGGAAAGGTGGAAAAATCTTCCATTTTTACAGTTGTCTCCATGGCATTCTACAACCTTCTCTGTTGTACTACACTTAGCCTTGCAGATGCAAATGTTGTCCAATTTTATAGCTGCCTGAATAGATGCTGTAGGGGGTTGTGCTGATGTCCTGGTACCACATCTTCTCTTGAACTGGGGAAGTCAAGCGCAGTGAGGGCGATACCAAGTCTCCGGCTTTCTCGTGGCGGTGAGCGAAAGACAGGAAGGGTGAAACCTTTTGTAGGAGTAATTTTCGTTACAGCATTAAATGGTCTCCTCATGTCTGATTTTCCTGGAAAAACAAATACCATCCTTATATGGTAATTTGGGAGGCACTGTGCATCTTCGGGTATACCATCGCCCTAGAATTTCTGGAAGAATACATGTTCTCCAAAATGTTTCCAATTTGGGCAGTACTGAGTTCCAATGCCGCACATCTGGATATATACGCAGTACTGTTAAATTCATGCTCTTTTTCCCATCAATGGCACAAACCACAAACTCACAATACTTGATTCCAGGCACAGAGAAAAGCTGCTGCTGCACCTGATAGTAGTCGCTGTGACTTTTTATGAGCTGTAAATGTCCATTCACTTTTTCTAAGCAGGAATTCTTGTGCTGAGCAAAGTTCTCAAAGTTGCCATCTTTGATTATACTCGGGCACTTCACTTCACCACATCCAGTGCCATAACAGACACATGAAATTAGAAAATGAGGAGTGGCATGAAGAAATTCATGTTGTTTGTAAATAAACAAGCCACACTTCTTAGCAGCTAAGTTCACATGACCAGATTTTACAGCAGCTTCGTATGCATTTGCAGCATCACTTTCGTGCCTCTGACCATGCCTGGTAGCTTTAGTGTTAACTATGCAGAGGCTTGGGTATCAAATTGTTTTAATCAGAGACTGAGAGGGCTGCACAACATTTGTGTTGAATGTTGCGTAACTTTCAGATGCACCAATTCTGCCAGCACGATGTCTAAAAGGTTCTTAACCCTCTAGCTTTATGTGCCAGTGATGAGCTGAAAGAATGGTACCTTCTCTTTCTGGGATGATCCAAATGTCAATCAGAGGATTGTTCATCTGTTGCAAATTTCTTTTTTGTTGTTGTTGTATTTTATTAATTTTTATTAATTCAAAGTTACATACATTTTTCCTAAACAAACATAATTCACATAAACAGACAGACACGGTACATCATATATCTACATACACAATCCACAGTTCCTCCTAGCTCTCCTCGGCTTCTAAATATAATACTAGTACAGTGCAGCAACAAACATGAGATTCTATATCATCTAATAATTTTTGTACTTGTCGCATTTCATATTATGAGCTTTTAGCTTATTATTTGATTTTGCGATCATTGTCTCGAGTTGGTGGATCGTTTTAATTTTGAGGTTTAAAACTTTAATTGAAGGGAGAGATTTGTTCTGTCGGCAAGAATATAAATACTGTTTGGCAATTATTAAAATATGATTGATTAATAATTCGTCTTCGCACCTTAAAATACCAAACATTATATCTTTTTCAGAGAGGTGTTTTATCTTTATGCCTTGATTATCGAACCACTTTATTACCTCAGCCCAGAAATCCTCAGTATAACGACAAGAAATAAAAAAGTGCTCCAAGGATTCGTTCATTTCACCACAAAAGGAACACGCCAGGGATGGAATAATACCAATTTTGTTTAAAAAAGAATTTGTGATAAGACACCTGTTTAGTAGTTTATACTGGAATTCACGCGATTTTGTGTCCAAGGAAGTACGAAATGGCAAGCTGTAAATCTCTTTCCATTCTAAAACATCATTAACAAAATGAGTATTAAAATTCAGTTGGGCAGTCGGTGGAGTGATGATTCTATTTCGAAGTTCTTTATATATAGTCTTTGAAATGACTGTTTCAATTAAAACGTTTTTGTCATTAAAACTTAATTTAATTTCGTTATACAAATTGAAAGGCTCGTCAGCCGTAGAAGCAAGCATGTTTAATGATTCACGCCATTCAACTGGTAAGGCGTCTATTACAGAAATAAGTCTAAATATATCTAACGGCGAGGTGTTTAATTCTCTCAACTTGTAATTACTTTTAACAATAAATTCGTTATTGTCCGAGATTAGATCCCCTATTCGAAGAATTCCTTTTTCTGCGAGATTTTTAAAATACACAGATTTGCCACCTATACAAATAAATTTATTATTCCACACAATAGCTTTTGAAAGATCTTGTCTATTTTGATCCTGTATACTTGTGTGAGTTGCTGCGGAACATTTTGCGAAACTTTTAAAGGATTCTTCATAAAATGCTGGAAGCTTTATGGGCAATTTCTTCAAATCAAAATCGCAACATAAAATAAGTTTACCCCCCACAGGTTCAAGATAATGCAGTACAATTTTTTTCCAATTGCTCGGTTGATCGCTTGCCAACTTTTTGCAACAGAGGATTCTCTGAGTCTCTATTATAGAATCTAAATGTGGGGCTTTAAGTCCCCATCTTCAATGTCACCAATAAGAGCAGAACGTTTGATTTTGTCCTTCCCCTTCCAGATAAAATCGAAGATAATTTTGTTCACATCTTTCACAAATTCCCTATTTACTAATATCAAACTCGCGCAATACAGGAAAATAGGAATGATAAAAGTTTTGACAATTTGAATTCTTCCGATAATCGTCAAATCCCTCCACCTCCAAATTCGTAGT